AATTTTATTATAAAATATTTTCAGTCACATTCAGTCGCAATTTATTAGTGATCCATAAATTATGAAATTAGCTGTAATGGTACTTTAACTAATGAAACAATTGGTTTTTTTATATATTTATTTGTATTAGGTAATAACAACGTTTATATTAATTTTTAATTTAATTTTAAATAATTAATTTGTATATATCTTTTTTATTTTAGGAGAATTATGTGATGCTTATTTAAATAGGGAAATTGATCATAAAATGCGTATTGAAATAATATTATGTGTTTATTTCTTTTTAAATATATGGAAAATTATATTGAACACTGTAGTATCAGTATTTAATAAAATGGTATAATTTACAGAAAAGTTTTATTTCAATACAAAGTTATGATATTTTTATTAGTATAGCAGAATCTTTGATAATACTTGTAATAGCACACTGTGAATATTATTCACAATTTCCTTTATTACTATGAGAATACGGAACTGAGGCATTAAAGCATATGTTTGGAATTTCATGAAAAATACTTCCTGATTTTAATTTTTGAGAGTTTTTTAAAATACAACAAAGAGTTTTCTATCGTGATAAAATTTCACAGATGGAAATAGTTAATACTACTAGAGAACGAGATTCTGCAGCAGGCAATTTATAATTTATTTTATTTTATTTTAATGATATTAAATAAATAATAATCAAGTATATTTTCAGGTTACATTTTTGATATAGACGGTACATCACTTCCACATGAAATAATTGAAAAGCTTCGCACATGACTTACTACTGATAATATACAGGAGTGCACTAGAATTGCATTTAATGAAGCCACATTATTAGCAAAATATATTCATATAGACAATTATGAAAAATTTTCAGTTTTTGTACATATAGAAAGGATGATAGATATTGAAGATGAAGATAAAGAGGTTGAAGATAACAAATCAAATGGTAAATAAATTTGTTAATATTATATATATTATAATTAATTTTAGATTAATTAGTAAAATTCAAAATTATTATACAGAATCAATAAATCTTCCTAATAATGAAATTAGCAGCTTAAGTCATTCAATTTCAGTTGGTAATGCAGCTCTAGAAATAGCACGTATATTATCAGACTCACAAAATAAAAATGATTAATTACATGAAGAGAAAATTTTAGATGAAGACGAAGATGATATAATGCAACGATTACCATTAATTGGAGAGTTTCCTGATATCCAATATATCATTCAAAATTCATCTGTTCCTGTATCTTTTCATCTATTTTAACTGCTTTTTACAGATAATACTTTAAATATACCAACTCTTCTACAAATTCGCCAATGTCATAATGCATTTTTGCGTAATTTAAAGTCCAATTTATACCAAACTACAATAGATGTAAATAATAATAATAGAATTAATAGGAATATTGTTAATAAACTTATTAATGAAACAACAGCAGATAATATTAATGAAATCAAAGGAGAAGGCGTTGAAATCAATGGAAAGTTTAGAAATATTACCTATCAATACTTTAGGTAAAATTTTTTACTTTATATTATGAAAATATATTATTTAATAATAATTATTATTTATTTAATTTTTTTAGTAATGAATCTTGGTTTGGCGAATATCTCTGATATTTGTTCTTTATATAAAAACAGATTTTTAATAGTCTACTTTAATAGAATTTTATGTTTGGGAAAAGTTATTGCAATGTATGAAAAATGTGGATAACAACATGTATGGGTTGAAAATCCAGTAGGTTTTTTAGATA